GGGGCCCCGCTCAGGCCGAGCCGAGCCGAGCCGCTTACAACGGGTCGTCTTCTCCCTTGCAGTCTCTCGCTTCATGGCGCCGTCCTCGGGCATGAACATGGGCGGCATGGGCAGCCTCGGCTCCCTGGGCGACGTGAGCAAGAGCATGGCCCCGCTCCAGAGCACGCCGCGGAGGAAACGGAGGGTCCTTTTTTCCCAGGCCCAGGTTTACGAGCTGGAGAGACGTTTCAAGCAGCAGAAATACCTCTCCGCCCCTGAGAGGGAACATTTAGCCAGCATGATACACCTCACCCCGACTCAGGTCAAAATCTGGTTCCAGAACCACCGCTACAAGATGAAACGCCAGGCCAAAGACAAGGCTGCGCAGCAGCAGATGCAACAGGAGAACGGCTCTTGCCAGCAGCAGCAGTCTCCCAGAAGGGTGGCAGTGCCAGTGCTTGTGAAGGATGGCAAGCCCTGCCAAGCAGGCTCCAACACACCCACAGCCGCGATCCAGAGCCATCAGCAGCAGGCAGCTACAACAATCACGGTGGCTACCAATGGCAACAGCCTCGGACAGCATCAGAGCCACCAGACAAACAGTGCGGGGCAGTCTCCAGACATGGGACAGCACTCAGCCAGCCCTTCCTCTCTGCAGAGCCAAGTCTCCAGTTTGTCTCACCTAAACTCTTCTACTTCTGACTATGGCACTGCCATGTCTTGCTCCACCTTGCTATACGGTAGGACCTGGTGAAAGGATTAAACAAAGCAAAACAAAAAAAGGAAAAAAAAGAAAAAAAAAACAGATTTCCCCAGTCACACAAATGTCTGCCCTGTCCAAACTACTGGGTGATTTTCTTTTCTTTTCTTTTTTTTCTTTCATTCTTTTTTAACGCTTATTTTTTTTGGTTTAACTGAATGGTTCTCTGAGTACCCCTCAGAGAGAGAGAGAGAGGGGGAGTGACTTTTTGTTTGGTTTTATTGCTACAGTTGATGGTTTTGGGTATTTTTTTCCCCCCAAGGTTGTTAAATGGGGTGTTAAAAAAATTCTGACTAATAACCATGGAGCAATCTGCAGAAAGGGGACCATCGTTAGGCGTGGTCTGAAGGCTTGGATTTCAGATGTACACTTTGCCAGCGTCTAGGACTTGCATGTAAATATAGAGATTTTGGGGGATGGGGTGGTTTTCCCCAAAAAAGCATTCGCGTCACCCAGACACAAGAAGCAGCTTTCCCCCCTCCCCCCGGTCTCCTCTCCCAGCCCCGCCGCCAGGGCCAGCGGATGGAGATGTGGAGTCATCAAAGGCTTGGCTTTTATTTTCCTCCTTACGTTTGATGTGAACCTGTAGCTGTATAATGCTGTCAAAAGTTGGACTAAACCCATAGTTTTTAGTAACCTGTATATTTTGTTGTAAAATGAAAAAAAAAATACAATCAACCAAACCAACCCCCACCTTTTTTATGGACACTGATCGCCCCGTCGTAAATCCTCTGGCAGTTTGTTATTTGCGCACGCCGCCTTTTCCTGTTGTAACTTATGTAGATATTTGGCTTAAATATAGTTCCTAAGAAGCTTCTAATAAATTATACACATTACGAATATTCTTTTTTATTTCCCTTTGGTCCCCTCCCCGGTCCCGCCCTTGCCCTAATTTCTTTTTTTGCTTGATGGAGAAACAAACCGGGATGCTACCAAATCCTGAACCCCTGCCCCTCCGAGGGCCCGGACTCTGTTCCCAGAGGGGGACTGCGCCAGGGAGTTAATGGGAAACAGGATCAGTACCCAGCATGGAAAAATTACAAGCAAACGTGTGGGGCTGATAAACTCGAGAGTGAAGAAATCGAGTCCAAATTGATTAGCCCGGTTGGGGGGAGGCGGGGGAAAGCATCTCGGATACTTATTGCTAGAGAAAGCAAAGTATTCCGGGAGCAGAAATTTAAATGCCAAAGGCACGGAGGAGAAGGTAAAAGTCTAATGCCACTAGAAACAAACTAACGAAGAACCTACTGACAGTATAGAATATGCGGCCGTTTTAAAGAGCGTCCAGTTTTAATAACTTGTAAAAAAAAGAGAATCATTTCTACCAGGTTTTCCTATGTACTTGTATTTTAAGGAAAGTACAGTCACCTTATTTATAATCAAAATAAAATGATAGTTTATTGTGTACGACATGCAGTTTGAATTAACTTTCTTTATGAGAATGCATTTAATTTTCTCCCCGTACACACCTCCGCATGCATGCCCACAGCGCTGCGGTTTCCTCTGCAAACGTCATCAGCCTTGCTGCCCGGGCGGGCCGGAGCTGACTGCAGGCTGCAGCTCCGTGTAGCGCCCATCGCTTTTTCTGTAGCGATTTGGGAGGCTTGCAAAGAAGCAGATGAAGATAAAGTGTGTGTGTGTGTGTGTGTGTGCGCGTGTGTGTGCAATGTGTGTGCAATGTGTGTGTGTGCAATGTGTGTGTGTGCATGTGTGCATGTGTGTGTATGCAGGGCGCGCGTGTAGCTGACGAACCGAGGTGCGTTTGTTAGTAAGGTAAATATTTTGGGTAAGGTGAGAGAATTAGGTATTAACTTTGCTGTAAATAGATAAAACAGATTAAGTGAAGCAGTTTGTATTGGACAATCAACAAAACGTGTAATTCGCCATCTTTCAGTCCCGAAATATCCCTTTTGTGAGTGTAACTGAAAATAAGAAGCCTCTCCATCCTAAAAGACCTGAGCGTGTATTTTCCTTTGCATCTTCTGCACGGTTTCGGGTTTTCCCCCATATCCTCTCAGTTAAATCATGGAAGCGAATGATGGTCATTCAAAGATCTCTGAACTACAGAGGTATTATGAACTACGGATATTTTTTAAGAAGGAAAAGAAAAAGAAAAAAAGCAAACTGCCTGGAATGGAAACAAACCAAGCCCCAGCTTAAGTAGCAGCTTTCGAAAGCTACAGGCTTTTATTTATACAAGATAGCCGGTGTTACTCGGACACCAAGTGCTAGTTTGGATGGAGAAAAAGGGAAATTGACAGAAAAAAAAAAAAGATTATCAGATTCTGTCTGCCTCTTTCCCCCCTTTATTTTTAACTAGAGAACATCACGTGTGTCAACAGGAATTTCGAGACCTTTTATTCTTTATATTATGTCCTGCTTTATACAGCCAGATTCTCAACTAACCCCCAAAGTATAAACATTTTTTTCTTTACTGGGAATATTCATTTCAGATACATACCGTCTTGTCAAACTTGGCACGGAGGGGTCTGGAGCTGAGTGCTGGCATTTCTGATAAAGGGATAAAGTATTTGGAATTCCTCGTACGTGTCACAGCGCTGCCAGGTCCCAGCGAAGGCAGCAGGAGCGGTATCAGGGCATGGTTAAGGCAATGCATTTTTTTTAATTAGGGTTAGTTTCTTATTTAATTAGGATTAGTTTCTTACGGAGTTAATATATGAGTGCGAAGTGGAAAGTGATGCGGCTAAGTCGACATTTCTCGTTCGGATGTGATTAATGTTTGCATTCTTTCAAACGCAGTAACAGTTAAAATTGACGAGAACTGAAAGACGTTAATACAGATTACAAATATTATTTTGGCCCGAAAGTTTTGAAGTTGGCAAGTTCAATAGAGAACCAGCCAGTGACTTTTCATTATAGACTTCGGGGAAAATAAATGAATTTTATTGTGTCTCGACAACCTCATAAACACATATTTGGTGGTGGGTGTAATTACTGTAATGGATTATTATGTACACTGACTTATCTTTCTTAAACTAGATTTAGTTTCGATTAAATAAACTCGTTTCCACTTTGTCTGATGTCGGCTTAGTTTAAAGTCTGTTTACTTGTTCCACAGAAAGGTGAATTCATCTCTTTATTAAGCACTAGAGACCGAGCAAACACAGTTCAAACTGTATTTACATATCAATCAGGAGAAATGCAAACAAACTGCTCTTTAACAATTTTATAGAGTTTTTTAATGACATTGTGTTATTGCCTTTTATCATAAACTTCTTTGTATAAACCAGTTATGCCTTGATTGGGATAAAGATATTTCGGTGATTTTTTTTTTTGAAATTCATTTTAATCTCCAATCTCCCTCGAGAACACTCACGAGAACTTAGTCACTGTATAGCTTTTCTAAATTAAAATATATGCCTCCATGTAAACGCTTGCTTCTTCCAATACGCTGATTTTCAGTCTCTCGTTAATCAATGCAAAACTTGGATAATGGGATGGCGGGGGGAAAGGGGGGAGGGCCGAGCATGATCTAAATCTGAAATGATGGAAGAAATACACATTTCCTAATATAACTACTCCATTATCGACATCAGACCGTGGGCATCCCATATTTTGAGAGAGAAAGGGATCTAGTGAAGAATGGCTGCTGCCTTCCACTCCCCCGCTCCCTGGCACTGCCTGCAAATGTACGAGAATCGCTGAGGGCATTTTTTCCTGCTGTAAATAGGAGTTCATGCTTGAGTGCCATGAAGTGTGCATGTAGTGGCACAGCAGGCTGTGGAAAAAAAAAAAAAAAACCCACCACCACTACCACCACCACCACAACAGCAACAATAGCAAAAGGCTTCTTCATATTTGCTGTTTCATATCAAAACGTTTTTGTTTCACAGCACCGTCTTTTACCATCAGTAGCTGGGGAGGCTCGGGAAGAAACATTAAGAAGACTCGCCAATCCTGGGGCCTGCACCCACATGCTATTTCTGTCCCCGGCAGGCAGAATAATGAAGTAGCGCAGAATTGTTTCCATACCTACGAGAAAAGCGATGGGGAGCTGATCTAAAAGTATATCGCCTGCATCTCAGTTCAAAAGGCAGTGCAGTGCCCTAAGACAGTGTTCAAAGTGCAGATCCCAAACAATGTAATCTGAGACAGCTCTAAGATGACACCAAGAGAAGTTGCCACAGGGGGAAAAAAGTATTTTAGCAGTTTTATGGCAGAGCGCAGGTACAGGGGCCTCGCTGGGAAGGCAGCCCCGGTCCAACTTGTCGCGACGGCTACTTTTACAAAGGGGACCTAGAGGTAAAAACTGAATGACTTCTGAAGAATTTCAGTCCTTTTATGGCCGGGTCGGGAGCAAAGCTGAGAAATATTTTTTTCTGTCTGACCGCTTTCCTCTTACGATCCCCTTCAGGGAAAAAAAAAAAGTAAATGGTAATACTGTTTATATGTATCAAATGTGTTCAGAGATCTGACCCAGTGAGGCCGTCCCTATGAGGCAGAGAGATTACCTTCTCTGGCAAATTGGTGAATAACATGAAATGACTTTTTTTTTTCTGGCTGCGAGCACATTAGGGAGCAGGTAAGGTCAACGTTTTCTATATACTATGTCGTTCTCTAGAAGATTTCTGGTCAGCGATATAAATAAGACGGTAAATAAGATGTATTGTTGTTAAAAACAAATTGAAATTCGTTTTGATGCTTAAAACGACTTACTATGCAGAAAATTCCTTGGGAAATCTAGAATTGAAAACGATAATTATGACATTTAATCTTCGATTTAAAGGTTTTGGGAGGGGAGGGGGAAGAAGGAAATTGATATATATATATATTTTTACACTGACACAGACATTAAGAAGCAAATTTGCAAATGGCTGATGCATTAACTATAAACGATACTAGGAATTCACTATCCTGAGCTGGTATATAAAACTTTAAAAATTATGTTTTAAAAATATTTACGAGGTGACTAGCAATGCTTACGTCTGTTTTTACTGCCTAGCTCCATATCTCATGCTAACTTAATCTGAAAATGTTGACTACTGTTTTCTGAAATAGATTTATTTTCGTTAAGCACAGAGGGACTTTCCAAGTAATTTTAAACTAGTTTGGGGGCTGTGCTACTGTAGCAAATGAATATACATCCAGCGATGTAAACTTTGGTAAATATATACGAATTCTTGTATTCTTTCAAAGAAAACTTCTAATATCATTCTGAATAGTGCTTAATCGATACAGTGCTTCTTTACCGTCTAAAGGAAAGGAAAAAAGTGTATGTACAATCAATTTAAGGAAAAAAGATAATTGTAATGCAGGAAACTAAGCCAGGTGTGAGATCTACACTTCCATCTGTTCTGCTGGATGTCACCAGAGTCCTTCTTCTCCGATCAAGTAAATTTTTCCAAGTAGTAATCTGGTAGAAGGAGACAAAGTTACATACACCTGGGGTCTTGGAAGGAACAGACTTTTTTGCTTCATATCAAAGGTGTTGCTGAAGTGGCTGAGTTCATTTCAGCGTGTTAGTGACCTAATAACGTGACTCTAGAACACGGTTCTTTTCGAGTTTCTCTCGGTGCTTTTGTTCCTCAAACTTTTTGTTGTTGATGTTGCTGTTTCTCAGAGGAGGTCTTAAAAATATCTTCTTCTGTGCACCTTCTTGCTCTGGGCATTTGCTCTTAACCTGCGCCTTACTTTGGAAACGCACTGTTGCTACAGCCAAACGCAGTGCACCCGGCTCCCTGTCCCTTTCACCCCTCTGCGCATTAGCTCATCGCAGTGGAAAAAAAAATGTGGATGATCGGTGCGGAGTGTTTAGTCTATATATGTTCGCCCGCGACTATATATACCTATAGATGTGTGCATCCACACTGAGGATGGTGTACTTGGGAGCTGCTGTGCCCGGCATTAACAGAGGGGTCTGGGGAGCAGAGGCAGGCTGCAATGAGAAAACTCTTACTTTGAAAAATGCATTGCCCGCCGGCCCGCGCTCGGCTCCTTATTTT